CGGCAGCAGGTGGACGCCCGGTGCCGCTCCCGGGGTTCCCCGGGACGGACTCGCTCGGCCCTGTACTCCCCGCCCTTGGCCCGCGCAAAGCGAGTGCCGCGCATTGCTCGGCAACCTAAATACGGGCTTAGGTATAAAAAGTTTATTGCTCGGGCAGGGTTGCGTCCTGCAAGAATTAAAACCAAAGCACTTTGCGTGCTGTAAAAATAAAATTAGTTTATTGACGCCTCGAGGCACTTGAAACAAAATATGGTGAAGATTGCAACTCAAGTTTTAACATGAAGCAAGGTGAAAATGAATGCTTGGAGAGCGTGTGCCTCGTGGGTCGTGCTGAGCCGTGTCAGGTGTAGTGAGCGGCTGTAAGGCAAGTTGGAGAACGCTTCATGGAAGCCGCAAGGAGCAGACTGCCCAGCGCAACAGTTCTGCGTGCCTATAAATCAGCCAGCATGATCCCCTCTCGAAGGATTTCTTTTTAGGTGCTGAAGTGCAGCATTCATGTTATTTCAGCTTGTCTTTAAAAAACATTAACAATTCATGTCAATACTTTATAATTGCTTGAGACTGTGATATCTTTTCCTTGGAACAAGGGAAGACTACAGCTCTCCTTTTGTATTTAATTTCTGTTTAACAGTTCAGGAAGCTTTTGTTTTGATTTTTTTTCCTTTAATGTTTCAGTGAGAAAATTTGGCCATATATTGTGAAATAAACCAATGCTGAAACTTTATGATGGTGTGGTTTATTCCGCGTTACAAATTCTGTGTTTCAGACTTCTGAAATTATTCAATACGAGCCTGGGAGTGGCAGCAGCGAGCATATTGCAAAGCATGTCAGTTTTTTAAGGCTTTACAAAGTTACTGTAATTATCTTTTCCTCTCTTTGCCTATAGTCGTTTATAGTTTCTGAACTAAACACAGTTTTAATGATAGAAATATCATAGACTCAGCTTAGAGCAGTTACTGTTTTCAAAAACAAGGATATATATGCCCATGCAGGAGAGGTTTTTGCTGGTCTTTGTCTTTCGTTTTTCTTAATCTAGAATAATTTTAGCTACTTTCAAAATGTTTCACCAGACTTCTTTGAACTGTCTTGTTCAGGTGGCCCAGACAAATAGTCTCCTCCACAGGACTGTGTCGGTTTGGAAGTAGAATTGACTGCTGCTGGGGCTGGGCCCGATTGTCCTGGGGACAATGCCAACGTGAGTATCATCGCTGCTGGGGCTTCTAGTCACTTGTAGAAAAGGCTCGTACACACCTAGTCACATCTTTCACATGTTCACACACATTCTTACAATGCAGGGCTTAGGCTTTTGCATGTGTGAGTCTGACTTACTTAGAAGGATGTTGTCAGCTTAAAATTCTGTCTATCATTAACAGTACTAAAAATGATTGCAATCAAGTAAGGTAAACTTTAGTTACGGCAATGAGAATTTAGGAATTTCTGTTTGGTTTCCGCTTCATTTCATGCTCTGGTCTAATAGCCTGACGTAACGCTACACTGTGTCATGTTACAAGCACTACAGGGCGAGAATATTTGCGTCCAAGAAGGAAACCCAAATTACTGACATTTCACTTAAAAATTTGATGGAAATGTTCCAATTAATATTAAGTACAAACATTCTTTCAGTAACCCCAAACTAAGGGTATAAATCTACCTGACAGCATCCTTTTACTGGGTCACGTGAAGAGAAACATCTCTGAGATTCTCACATCTGTCTAGAATCTTTGATATAATTGCAGAATAACCAAGTAGATAAGTCTTCATCATTAACTACATCTTCAAAAAGTATTCTGTGGTGGCAGCTAGCACTGTGTAGAAGTTAAAATTGTCAGGAGCGTCATAGAGACCTCAGCTTGTTAAAATTGCAGCCTTTGATACTGGGGCGCTTGCTCATGTGTTTAACAGTGCATACATGAGTGATACCCCGTAAGTTTTTGCAGGAGTGAACCTATAAATACTGGTTCTCTTTTTTTTATTATTTATTTATTTAGATGAAAATGTCTGCAAACTGGATCATTTTCTGCCAAGCCATTTTTAAAGTAAAACAGGTATTAAATACTGTGAGTTGCTTAGTCTGCAAGGCAGTGACTATAGGTGGCAAATATTAGGCAAAAGATAGAAATAGCATTGGCAATGCAACTGTAGACTCTCAGCAAAGGTTTTGTTCAAATCTGTAAACAGCAAGACTGGATTCTTCCTTCCCAAGTGTGTTAAAAGCCCACAATGTTTAATAGGTATCTAAGATGACTGGTAAAAAAGCTATGTAAAGTACTTCTGGAACATAACATCCCTGATACGGTTTTTTGATGCAAAGTTCTCAGGTTGCTATCTCTCAGGCCATACCATGAATCATTTTGATTTTTAGGGCTGTAGTTGGTAACACGTAGTCCTTTCCTTGGGATCAATGTTTATAGAGAAGGAAGGAGAATGTGAGATAGGTTGATTGAGGCTACTCCAGAGATGATAGAATCTCTGTCCATCTTTCATAACACAGTTTTATTTGAAAATCATTGAGCATTTAAATGTTTGAGGCTACGAAGGCTTAACTGGCAAGTATCAATAATTCACATTGTTTAAAAAAAAAAAAGGCAACAACAAAACCAAAAAAACCCAAACCACTAAAAGGGTCTCACTGTGGCCCTTTTCTTAGACAAGTTGTCTCCTGTGTTGTGACCATAAATTGCAGCTCATATTTAGGTGGAAGTCAATTTCAGTTATATTTGTCCTTTAATTTCTCACTATTACCAAGTCTGACTTGGGGTTGCATTTTTGTGATCTTGGGAGACAGGAATAGCATAAAGTGATAATATAAAAAGATTCATAACTAAAAGTTGAAAATGAGACAAAAGTAATAATACACAGAAAGTGTTTTTTGTTTTTTACTCTCTGAATTTTGGCACTACAAATGACCTTATTGAGAACTTTTTCAGATACCATAAATGCTCTTTTTTTAAGGCTAAAGCTAGGTGAGTTCTCACTTCCTTCTACTGCATTTTAGTCTATTATTGACAGATTTGTTCTCCATGCACGTTTCCAGGAAGTGCAGAGGTGGATTTTATGTGGTCATCTCCAGTACTTGGGACCAGACTTTCAAAAGAATACAGTTTTCACTTAGGTGTCTAAATGCATTTTTTTTCCCCATTTTTTTTCACACACTGGGTGCTGATAACTTTTGAATTGCTGGTTCAGAAGAGTCTCGGACATTTGGGTGAAGAACTTCTTACTAAAAACTTAGCGGCTCCTCCTAGTTTTTAAATGGGAGCCAAACCCTTAGCAAAATCAAGCAAGAAAATCTGCCCCAGTTGTGGGTGGTGAAAATTCCAGTCATATCATGGGGTGGGAGACTGCACTAAATGAAAGTGAATCTTTCTAGTGCTCGCAGCCAAATAGAAAATCTGTAGTCAACTCTTCACCTTGGGAATGTGGCATTTGGTATGAAGGATTAACCTGGCACAGAAGGAAGCATTCCTGGCCTCAAAGGAAAACTTGAGTGTTTTACTGTACAAAGGAATATCACTGAAAAATTTCCAAAAAGCCAAGTACACAATTATTTCTCCTGCTTTCTCTATGGAGAAAGGCAAACCTCTTAGTCCCGTCCCCGAAATGAGTGGCATAAATACATATCAGACTTTCTCTACTAGATGTACGTTTTCTTTGCCGTTTCTAGAATAAATTATATTTGCACAATGAAAACAAGTATAGAGTCAGGCTTAAAAATTAGTAGTGAGACCCAATTTACAAATGAGTCCAAAAAGAAGGCAATAATGCTAAGCTCTTTATTAGTGAGCTTGAACTGCTTTTCTCAAACTAGTTTGAGCCATCCTGGGTATGCCCGCAAGTGCTATAGCACCTTTGGACTCTCACCTGCTTACTCATGCATAGTTTACTATGTAGGCACTGATCACCTCTGAATTTATCTTTCTGACAACAAATGTAAGGTGAGAGCCATGCTGGAGCCAGAGTGTAGCAAGAATATAGGCTCCAATACATGACAGGGTTGTCCCAGTTTACAGAGACCTCTGAACCATGATGAGCCATGGGCAAGTGATTGCTAACATACCTGGATACATTTCTTGCTGTCCAGCTGAGCTGCTCCACCAAACATGTGTGGGCATGCCTTCTGCCCATGGCTATTGAGAAAAAAATGTGTTAGTTTAAACCAACTGTGTGATTTACGGTAATGGTTTAATTGTGACAGAAGTTTAAGCCTGTATATGTCAGCTCTAACAGGGTAGGATTGTGGCACAGCTGACAAGCAGTAACTCATTAAGTAGGTAACTCATTAAGGTAACTCGGTCCTTCTGATCTTCCATCCATAATCCATCCATACAGTTGCAAATGGAAACTGAACTGTGTTAGCTAAACTTACTTTTGTGAAGTGTGGAGTAATTCCTTTTATGTCCCTTTGACTGACAAAGGAGTGCACATAGAACATGATCGTGCTTACTGCTGCTTAGTAACACCAGTCAGCATAACGCAGCTGTCTTTTTCACTCTTATAAACATGTAGGAAGAAGTTGAAATCAGGCCCCTCCTTTAATTTACACTCTTTCTTTAAAACATCTTCTGTCTCCTGTTAATAAATTACACCAGTCAAGACTTGTACATGTAAGGAAGTGCATGTAGGTCTGATCTGTCTGTAAACTTGCTTCCAAAGCCTGTCAGTGTCAGCTGTAACATCTCAGCTAGTAGAAATACTCTTTCTTCAGTGATGTGAAATTGCCTTCCCAAATGCTCTTTCCGATTCCAGCAAACGCACTTCGAAGATGTCCCTCCAACTGAAATAATCAAGAACTTTGAAACAGGTTGGATTTTTTTTTTTTTCCTTCCTTGCAGGTTGTGAACACCAAAGTGAGATCCAGGTTTAGGCAACTAGGTCCGTTTTGAGATTGATACAAATATAGCCATATCTTCAAAGGGGCTAAACAAACGTAACTCAGATGAATTCATTGGCATTTCGAAGTCCTTGTAAATTGAAAATCCATCACGCTTATTTAGTGGCCTAATCTAGATTTAGAACGGTGGATATATTCCATCCCTAATGTAACTAAGTAGCCTTTCTGAGGTTTTGATCTGGTATATAAACCAGGTTTATTGGTTAAACCTGGTGTGTAGAAACGCTAATTTGGAAGCAGCAGAAATGTTGTTTAAGCAACAACTCTTAGTTCATCTGAAGTAACCTCATCATCGGTAGAGCTGATCCTTTACACTGATGGACTCACAGCATCAGTGCTTTAAAGTTAGATGTTAAATATCCCAGTTGAAATTAGTCCAAAAATCCCATGTTGTTGCCCAGCCTGCAGGATTTACTTGCTCCTTAATAAATTGTAGTGGGAGTAATAGCTGTAAGTGGGAGTAATCACACAAAAGCCTACTTCTGTGAAAAATGTTATGTTGATAAAGTACCTGATAAGATGTGTGTAAAAATAGGGCTGTTGTCTTGCATTTTTATGTGTTATTGTTGTGCACACAGCAAAACTATAACCCAGAGCAAAAGTGAGGCTAGAAGGAGTTTCTTCTGGATTTCTGCTCTCAGAGTAGGGGGTTTTGACTTCCTGTGACAGAATGTTTTTGGTGAGAGCAGATATCAACAGTACGTTTTTAATTCATAACTCCTTTTGCATTGTAAGGCAACTGCATCTGTGGTACTGAGTGTGTTGTCCTAACCCAGAACCCATTAAATGGGTTTTAAAGTACACAGAGAAAACAAAGTCAGGGTTTGCATCATTGCACACATCTTGCACAAATGTACTTTTCTGTGTGCCAGCAGAAAAAATTTGCCTTAGGAAGTTGATTCAACTTTTTTTTTTTTTAAATGTGTTATTCAGCATTAATTTTCATGGTTTGAAATACTCGGGGAAGAGAATTTCCAGCAGTGGTAGGGCTGGAGCTCAGTTCTTTGAGCTGGATGAGAAACGTCAACTGCAGAATGAAAACAGTCATGTCCATTCCTGTATTCTAGCTACTGTAGTCTAGGAGACCTGCTGAAGCTTGTCATCTCATCGCCCTAATAAGATGTCTGTGACAGTATTCTGCAGGGATGGCTGTCTTTCTGAGTGTTTCTCAAGGAAAGGATAATCTGGGCCTTGTTGTCCAAGTGTCTCTGCTAGGTCAGAGGTAGGCCAAGCAGCAGGAAAGTCCTTGGAACTGCTGCTGACTGACCCTTGCTGATAATTTGGTGTACAGAAATCAACTGTGAATATATATGCATATACTGAGCTCTGGAACCTGGTTAGCCTATCAGAAAACTAAAATACGGGATAAGAGGTGCACTCATTTCATGCAGAGACTTATGTGAGAAGTAGTGTGATGCTTTTTATTCCTCAGTATGAAAATGGAAGTTCTTCCCTTCGGTTTCCAACAGACCATGCTAGGGGTTATTTGAAAATTAGTAGCTGTTCGTGGATGTTTTTGCCACTAATCCATTTTGGTTCCCTGAAAGTTATTCTTAGAACGAATGGTCTACCTGCCTTGCTTTTAGCTGGCTTACAAGTCTCTCTGTAGTTCTTTCAAAAGCTATAAAAATGGTTTCCACATGCGTGTGTCTTTCATGAACAAAATGCACCTGCTTTGTACTTGGCTGCATGTCTGTTTGTAATTGATTTGTATGCTAGTTATATGTAGTCAAGGTACACTGAAGATGTAGGCTGCCTTTTGCTTCAAAATTTCAGCTGCAGTTTAACAGCAAAGAACTGTGGAAGGAGATACTACTTTAACATAGATTTAAAAGGTTAGCAAGATTTTTTTTTAAGAAAAGCAATATAAACCAGCTTGAATTCTCATTCTGGATTACAGTTTGGACAACTCCTTTGCTAGAGGTGATGGCAAAAATGGTTCCTTTTGCTGTGTTCGCATATGTACAAAATAGAAGGTTGGATCTGCAGCTTTTATAAACGGATGCAGATCTACTGTCAGATCCCCTGTTGGCATGAGTCTGCATGACTGTTGGAGTCAGCAGAAGGCACTCTCAGATTTTGTCTGGTGGACAGAAATTTTGACCCAACAGAAGATGCTTAACAGGAATAAAATCCCACTGAACATGGATTTTACAAGTAGTGATGTTATTTGATTACTTCACTCATTTCAGTGTTGAATTCTTCTTAAACAATAACAAAGTCTACAAAGTCTGTCTTGAGAAGGGGTTGTGAAGATGAGTGTGCTCTTTCAGAGCATCCACCTGTTGTAACTCCATCTGTTTATCTCCCTGTGCTGAGGTTTGAGTGTTCTACCTAGGGAGCAAAACCAGAATAGGTCAGCAAAGTTGTTTCCCACCACCTTACGCTAAAACCATGACAATTGGCTTAAAAGCCTAGGGACAGAGCAATCAAGAAGGTGTGCAGTCAAATAGCCCATTAGTAAAAGTATAAGTCAAGCCATTAGTTCACACCTCCCCTTAGCATTGCATCATTAAAAAATGTTAATTGAAGGATGTCAGGTTAGCATTGAGATTTAGTCAAACCTAGTAGAAAGCATAGTATTTCAGGAGGTTCTTAAAGAGGACCTGTAAGAGAGAGAGAGGGGAGCTTGGACAAGCTGATACAGCAGATGCAGGCATAACCAAATGCTTTGCTGGGGACTGTGCATGCTGCTGCCTTCTTAAAACAGTTGTGAAGAAACTTACACTGTCTGTGCTGCTGCTTCTGTCCTAATGAGCTTTATTTCTATTTATCTCTGTTCACAGAGATGCAAGGTGGTGGTGGCGGGGCGGGGGAAGAGGTGGCTGTGCTTTCATTGATGCCTAGAAGGAGATTTTGTATAACCAGCAATGATGTTGATGGGAGTTTACCCATCTAAAACATCTCATGCATCAATGGGAGAAGAGGCCATGAGCTGCTTGGGACTTCTGTTTCTTGCACATAACAATGCTTTCAGTGGAAATGGCAATTCTGTATAGTCCAAGATGCGCAAAAATAAAACCATGATTTTGTCAATAATGAGCCATGAAAATACTGGCTTCCAGGAGGCTGACCCACTAGCAGAAACCTCCTAAAGTCACTAAGAGTTTTGTTACTGAATTTGTGGATGCAAGAATACAGTCTATATTAATGCATTGTTTTGGCAATGTTTAATTAATATTGATATGCAGCATGTCTGCTTCTTCTAAAATGACCAATATTTTTGTGCATCCCCGGTACTTTTCAAAGAAAAGACATTTTATACAGAATTGCAATACTGCTATGCAAGAAAAAATGAGGTTTTGCTATTTTTATTCAGTTGGGGGTTTTTTTCAGTTTAGAAGCTTTATGCTCTTAAAGCAGTTATGACTATACCACGTTAAAGATACAGTATCCTTTTCCACTTCCCCACTGCATCCCTCCTGCACTTCGTACGTAGAATAATAGTTTTGCAGTCCAGTTTTTCCAAGGAAATCTCAACAGTAACACAATTTGACCATTTACAACTGTAGTATATTCCTCTCTTGGGGAATATGCTTGGGGAGCCTCCCTCCACTGTAACAAACGCTAAGGGACTGTCTGGTTAAAACTAATTTAAACCAATATAAGTTGCAGTCATAGCAAACCCTTAAGTGTTGGTCACGTACTACTTAAAATACAAAGAGTTGCTGTTGCTTAAGTCCCAGTCTTTTATAATAAGTCTATGTAGCCTAACAAGCTATGCTGCTAACGTTAATTTTATTGGCAAATAAATTGATTTAAAATAAGCCCGAAACATAAATCTGTGTTTCCATCTTATTTAACTTCTGTAGCGTATCTAGTTTCATATGGTAGTAAGAGCTCAAAAGGTCTCTAAGCACTAGTTTTAATTTAGATGACATTCAAAATTTAAACATTATAAAAATGACCAGTAAATTTATATGCTAGGATGTTTATTGGTTGCAGATGTTCAGATACTTATAAATGGTTGTAATTTTAATTACTCTCAAATTAGCATCCAGATGCTAACCCTTCATGTTTGCTCTGTGGAGACGCAGCATTAAAAATACATACCTATATTTAAATGAAAGGATACTGTCTCTTTAAGAAAAGCATTTATGTTCTGTTGATGGAAACATTGAACCTGAACAGTGAAACATGAGAATTTTTACAAGTATGGACCATATGAAACATGACGAAGTGTAGCTCCTTCGTTGATTGAATAAGAATAGCATCACGTCATTATATTTAATTACTCTTATGTATCATAATGTTTGTTAAATCTCATAATGAAATACTGATGTAAGGTATTTCCATTTTTAAATGTGTACCAGAATTTTTTTTATTTCAGAAAAGCTCTGAATGTTGAATGTGTGTAAGTCTCCAGGAAAGTTTCAAGTTGATAAAAACCCCAGCCAAGTCCATCCTCCTTACAGAAAAAAAAAAAGCTGGAATTTCTTTTTTTGGATATTTGTTTTGCAGCTTTCTACGTCTTAAGGCAGAGAATAGCCAGCCTAAGGTGCCAGCCCAAAGGTTAGCTGAACATATTTCTTGAAATAATTTTGGCAAGCTTATGACTTGGAGTTATGGCCTCTAAGTCATAAGTTTACATGAAAACTCTAATATGTGACAAGAAGATGTAGATGTTTTATTTTTTTTCCTTTTTTAAACATTTGATTTGGGGAAGATGAGGGGGGAAGGAAATTAACAGGGCTGTTTTATCCCAGTCACCTATCTGATGAGATACTTACTTTCTAAACCATTGCACTTTTCCCTTTTCACTCTTTTCCTGTTTCTTTATATTACCCTCAAGCCCCAGGCAATATCTTTTCCTTCCTGCAAATTGTTTATTCTCCCAGCATCATATTTACAAGCTGTCAGACGTAGGAGGCCTAATTTGCTTTCACAGTATTGAATCGTGTGCTGCGGAGGTTAGTTTGGGATGGCTGAAGCACTTATTGCCCCCCATTGCCTGCTTTGCACCTCCACTACAAGTTGTCATTCCCACAACAGGGAAACTTTACAGCCCCTGCTCTACAGCAGTGTACAACCTGGCACGTTAGAGCAAAATGAAATCAACGCTTGTTTACATTGGTACCCAGGGCTGTAGTCTGCTGCTGCTAAGGAATTGATATGTCTTGTTTACTTGTCCCTGTGGCGGGAGTACCAGTCTTTCGAAAGGGGAGCAAAGCAATCAGCTGTTCATCTGGCTGTGAAAGTCAGCTTTGTTACTGTGATGCAGAAGTAACTCTGCCGAAGCCAGTGGGTGTTAACATTCTAATAAAGAAAATAGCAATAGGGCCCAGTTTGTTTTCTGCCACCACATACAGAGACACTTGTGCTACCCTGCTTCTACCTGCTGGAATTCAGTAGACACAGAAGGATTCAGGTAACAAACAGGCATTTGAGGTGATAAAGCACCATTTTTTAAGCAATTATCATAAGCCAGTTGAAATGCAAACATGAAAAGATTGACAAAGCATGAAATATTTCTTGCTTTTTACATTTTGCATTGTGTTAGATCAAATTTCTCTGATCCTTAAAAAGAGTATGTAAGTACATAAACATTAGATTAACTTCCACCGACTTCATGAAATCCTATTGATTTCAGTGTTACCCGTGCTTAAGTTATGCATGCTTTTAAGTGCTGTTCTGAGTAGCAAGGCATTAATGAACCAGGGTCTGGATTTGTGTATGCAATTTAGAAACACATTTGGCAGCAGTCATAAGCAAGCAAAGAATTCACTGCAATGAATAGCCCACACTGGCTGCAGTTTGTCATGCTAATGTGCTGTTACCAGAATCATATGTGCAAACTGAGTAACTGATTTACCCAGGCAAATGTAGTAGTTGTGCATGAAAAATTAGGAGCCACTTACTTAATGGAACTGTATGCTTTAGATGGAAGCTTAAGCATGCATTTTGACAACATTTGTTATTGTGAATGTTACAAATAAGAGCAAGTAATTTGTGAAAAAAATATTCCGGCATTAGATACTACTGTTTCATCTGATGATGTTATCAGTCTCTAGTTACAGAAATTGGTCAAGAACATTTATTATCTTTCAAAAAATAGAATAAGGAATGTTTTGCAGTGAAATTATCTGAAAATTAATACCCAGTTGCCCTAGTCAGGCTTATTAAGCTCTGCAGAGATCTGTGTTGTGACTGCTAGTACACTTACTTGGGAAGCAAAGTTATTTTTTCAGAAGTAATTCTTTAATGTGAGTTATGGGTATGACATGTTTTTACCACCTACTGGTTAACTGTGTGGTAGGTTAAGCTTTATGCGTTCTCCTGCATTTGTGTGTAGTAACTCTGAAAGAGCTGCAGCGATTTATTGTACAAATTAGCTCATACCTTTGGGATCCTAGATCAAAATTACTGTGAATAAGGCAGATTTATTTTCCTGAGTGTGTGTTTATGCAATTGCATAATTTGCAAGGAATTGCAAAAAGTAAATAGAAATAGACAGACGTGAGCTGAAGCTGGCTCTGAGAAGGAGAAATACAGAACGTGAGGTTGTGGTCTGTTAGCAGCACAGGAAAAAGGGAGCCAGTTTCAGGTGAAGGAGGAAGCATAGAGGAAAGCTTGTTTCACCAACATGCAAGTCTTGTTATAAAGTTGGCACTGAGGGAATGTAAACAGTGATCTTAAGATTGGAAGTCTGTTCTGCATTCAGCAGTATAAGAGGATCCAATAAAGGTTTGTGAAGCTGAATAGTATGTAATCATCTCTGGGCTGATGCACAAATAACTTTCTGTGTTTGAGCAAACTGAATTTTAAGGAGCTGGGATTTAGAGTCAGAATAAAAAAGGGGTTATATGTTACTTGGGAAGAGAGGGCAGAAGCAAGGCCATTCAGGCAGGTGGTCGGCATAGTTTGTTTCGGATGCAGGTGTTCTCATGCATATTTTTAGACTTCAGAGAGGTGAAAATGGAAGTTCAAGGACAGTTTGGACATCTGCAGTCTGGCATTTTGAGGCAGATTTGAGTGGGGGGATGCAGAAAGAGCAATTAAAGACTTTGAGGGCAACTTCTGTTAATGAAACCCTCTTGTGGGCATCACGCAAGAAAGAAAATGCAAGGAATAAAAAATAACTGTTAAGGGACAGAAATTAAGAGGCAACGCAGAGAAAAAGAATGTAAGAATTATACACAGAATTATACTCAAGGCTGTTTTGATGAAAGACATAGCTGGGAGTGTTGGAAAACCAAAGAGGAGTTAAATTGGTAGAGATACTCCTAAGAAAGCTCAGGGATTTCCATTGCTGGCCACAAATGAAGAGGAGTTAGGCAGGTAGGAACCAGGCAGTGCAACCGTCTGGTTAGGACTCTACCAAACAGTATTTGGTAATCAAGAAATAAATCATTAATGTTAAAATTCTAGATGAGAAGGAATAGAGGGGACAGCATGTGGTAGTCACCCATGCCCTCAAAAGATGGGCAGCTTAGTACAGAGGAACTGACAAAACCTGAGGGGGACTTCCAAGTCAGTTCTGAGGGAACTGTGTGCAGGGAGAAAATACAGATGAAATTTAAAAAACCCAACATTATAGACCCATAATTAGTTGATTGAATGTGTTTTTCATTTATTGTATTTATGCAACAATTAAAAAATAATAATTCAGAGTGATTGAGTCATGCTCAGACACCACCAGCAGCTAGTCATGGCTGGGAAGGTTTGGTGTCTTCTGGCTTTTACACAAGCATAACATGTGCTAACAGCATGTGCATTTCACCAGAAATTCTTTCTCCCTCTCTCCCACACTTGGAAAAAAACCCCAACCCTAAACCCAAACCACTCATTCATGTTTCAATTCCTTGTGTTATTTTTACAGGAAGTTTAATTTGGCCTGAAGTTTAAGTGAGACTTAAAATGTGGTATTTATCATCTTATTTTGGAGGAAAAGGTATTTCTTGCCAACCTTTAAAATAGGTACTTGGTTAGATTTTTGGCCAAATAAAAGGCTTTAGGATACCTCCTTGACTCCATTGAAGTTGGTGGGAACTGAGACAGAGCAAGTCTTCACATATGGCCCAAAAAAAGGATTTAAAATATCAAACTGAAATGAATAATCATGAGACCAGAGTTTATTTGCTGGTATCTCTTGAATGAATTGGGTAACAAAATGAAATGGAAAGTTTAGTTGTATTTTATTCTATGGCCTAGATAAACAAGAAGCAGTTGACCAAAGATGAAAATAGCTGTGCTTGGGATTTCTTTCTGTTTATCTCAGTCCACATTACTACCCGATGGGAGTGCCAGTTTAAATGCTTTCAGAGAGGAATCCTTGGAGAAATGGTAGGTCTTTGTTGATACTGATTCAACAACAAATTAGCAATCTTGGTTTTAGTGGCAGTTGTCTATACAAGCGTACTTTTAACTTTTGTTGAAAACAATTATTATTATAAAGAGTAGAAAGTTTTTACTTCTTTATGGCAACCTTTTCAGACTCTGACCTTCTGGACTTCATTGCCCTAAGTGCGTAAGAGAGCGACTTTCTCAGCCTGGTGTAACTCTCCACTGTCTATATTTCCTTCTTGCCTAGTAGGGAAGTGAGTGTTACGTAGCAGACTGAAATCCACGGACATGGCTTATTTCAGTCATTGTAAATGTGAGTTGATCGGAGGGAAATGATGTTCTATTGGGTGTTGTGGTCGGTTGTGGGGGAATTTTTTAATTGTCAAGATGCAAAAAATATTAGTTGGGAGACTTTTTTCCTCACTACTTGTGAGTCTAATTGTGTTAAAAAAATGGATAAACTCCATGTGTTTGCGTGTGAGCAGAGCAACTGAAATATTCTATTCTATTCAATTCTATCTGGAATTTTGCAAGAAAATAAGTAGAGTGGAAAATTCAAAGAAAAAACCCAGTCGCATCAGCATACGTAGTATATGCCTAGACTCATACCAAACAGCTGAAATAATTGCCTGCTATTAAAAGAAATGCTGAAAGTCGGGCTTAGGCCTATTTTTATACCTGGATCTCATTGTTGACCATGTTCAAATGGAACCCTTGGGGAGCCAGCGAGTGTGTCTCTGCTGCCATGCCCTCCTCTGGAGAAGGGAGTATTTGCAGGCTGCAGGTGGCAGAGCCTGAGCCAGCCCACCTCTCTGGGCCTGGTGGCCCTGTTAGGGGTCGGTGGGAAGGGCATACAGATGTCGCTGGTGGAACCCCAGCCAGGTGTGCAGACTTGGCTGAACACCATCTGCTTCTTAAGTCCTCAGCACCGTGCAAAGCCCTGTTCAAGTTAATGGGAGGATATACAAATTGCTTGGTTGAGGGTGGGTTGATTCCTGATAGGAAATGCTGTGGGATGTATCCGTGGTGTTGACTGAGCTACAGATGTTGCTAGGCTTATTGAAAAGCGCTTTTTTCTTGTGTATAGAAATTCTTTGGTTGTAAGGTTGTACTGAATTTCAGCAGCTGTGTATAAATAAGATGCATAATACTTAAGTAGCCAAAGTGCACAGAATGTACTCTAATAAACAGGATTTCTTCAAGTACAGTGTTTGGCAGCAAGCATAGGTTTCCAAATACCTGTTTAATGTGCAGAAAAAGCCTTTTATGATGACTTTGACTTTATGGATAGTGGTTTGCTAATCATTAGGAAACTTTCCTTGTGCTAGTGGGGATTCTTGAGCTGTAGACTGCTGAGGGGCTGAGATCTCCTTTAACTGAGACTTTCAAAAACAGAAAAGGGAGAGATCTGTCATGTGATTTAAGTGCCTTTCTTAATTATATCTTGAGACTAGGAGGTAGACTAGATCAGGAGTTACCCACCTCTATGTCATACAAGACATTAAATACTGCATAGTATGGAGCTAAGTTTGTTGAGATGTATTGGACTAGATGATCTCTTGAAGGATCCCATAGATCCGATTGTTTGATTTAATAACATGGCCTGTGTTACATGTTTCATATCTGTAGACAGTTGTATATTATTTGTTTTAAACAAATGCTAATACATAATTTTTGTTCTAGTACGATATCTGACCTACTTGGTTAACTGAGAGAATTAAGCAAAACATCTGATTCCTAATACAAACATATTTGACCTGAATTAGAGGAACATTTTCATTTCTAAAGGAAATTAAAATCTCATTTATTTCATTACTGAATGTTATAAGGCTCTTTGTCTTCAAGTATGAGATCTTTTTTCTCTATCTGACCTGCTGCTAATTTACAATCTATGCAATTGAGGGAGGAACCAAGACTTTAAAAAAGTCAGTTAAAACTAAAGTTGCCACAGGTTCAGCTGCTGAACTGTAGCACTTCACACCAAGCTGATCCCATGGTGCTTTGTGATTTTTAGAGAGTAATTTTTACCTAACTGTATCCCACTCCACAATATAGATTTTCTTTAAAGTGCAGTTGAAATTTCATGGAAGCTTTCAAAAACATATAGTCATTTCTGTTTCTCTACTGTTGTTTGGATCACATCTTTTTCTTTCTCCCCAGTGACTTCAAAGTCATGAAGCTGGTCTTCATAGTCTTTGTTTTGCTGCCGTCACCTCTAATTAGACTTGGGTTTATGATGTCAGGAAGATGAGAGTCTCAGTGTCTAAATGAGCTCTTACACAAAGAAGATCTTTTTTTTCTGTTTATGACCATAGTGATTAAAAAAGCAGTAATTGTTTCCAAGTACAATGTTCTAGAAGTTTTTCATGATGTATCAGTTGCTCTTCAGTCAAATCTGTCCATTACCCAAGGGCGTACTTTTTGAAACATACCTTTTAGTAGTCTAAGCAGCCCCCTTTCCTAACGCTTTAATTGAGAGGTGTTTCTGAATCTGAATCCCATTTCTTTGTTTCTGGACAGTGTTTACTGGAAAAAAAAAATCTTGCATTAACTAGAAACATCCCTCTCTCTTGCCTTTTAAGATATCCCTTACAACAGTTTTCAAAAAGAGACTGCACCATCGTGTTAGGAAGATCTGTCAAGAGCTGTAGATTTAAAATAAAGTTTTATGTTCTTAGGGGATATCGCTGGCCATATATATATTAAGAAAAAGTTTAAAGAAAAAAGTGCGCTGATAATAAAGGGCAAATGCAGTCCTATAACTGGAGCAAACTCCTTCTACGCTAACAGTTGCTTCTGTGGATGCATTTGTGGGAATTGCTGATTCTGGATGCTTTGAATCTTATGGAAAAGATTTTAGAACATCAGAGATGTATTTGCATAGTTCTTCCACAACCAAAACTAATCTCTTGTGCCTGTTTTAATTTTGTTTAATTCAACCCTGTTGAACAGCTTGGCTAGAATGCAAGCTACATTTTTGAGGGCCTTATAACAGATTTCTGTTAAATTACATCCTTAATACATCCAGTTTTATGATACAGCCTGTTGTCAGATTAATTAATATTACATATGGATCTAGTTAGTTACTTTGCAAATTCCAAATGATACTGTTAGTTTAGAAAATGAACTTAAAGCCAGAGTAAATAGTAAATCCTGATTACAAGGTATTCAATTTATGCCACCCTCTGATTCCTATCTAATTTGTGTCCATCTTGCTCAGTAAGCTCACCAGAATTTTGCATTTGCATTTTGTCATATAATGATAAACAACATTTTAGAGCATAGTAAATACTTTAGTTTTCCAGTAGGTTGAAACAGTATATTTAGTAATAGAAAGACGTTTCTAATAAAAAAGACTTGGAAATGTTGTTTAAAATTTTCAGCTGTAAAATGGTTTCCAGAGTTATGCAGGACTCGTTGCTCTCTGAAAATATTCCTGTTAGCTAATCCTACATCAGTAGAAATACATTTGTGCATTAATTCTTATATTTCTTCAAAAGCAATGCTTGTTTTATTACTGAAGTTTTAAAAGTTTGTTTTATTAATTTTATTTGTGTTATATTGAGAGAGGTACCAAAAAATGGCTTCCTAACTATTATTTCTTGGAGTTCTGTATTTATGCTCCATTTGGTGAATTAAAAAATACCTGGCAAATTTGACTCTGGAAGCCGAATAGACCGTAACTTCACATTCTGAGACTATATCTGTACGGCAGGTTGGGTAATAAATGCTTGAAATGTTCTGAGTAGAAGTGACTTAGATGTGTGCAGTGATAAAGCAGCATATTACAGTCAGTGTTGCTTTTGCTTTTACCCAGTCCTTTTTTCCTCCAAAAGAAAAAAAAATAAAAGTAATTCCCATGCCAGAATCCAAACACCTGAAAGGGAGAGATTCAGGGAAAACATTGCTTAGTAAGGGGGTAAAGAGTGTTGCCTTATAGTCATAGAGGAAAACGGTGAATGCTGGGATCTGTGCTGCTGCCTATCAGTGACTGAACTATGGCTTTGTTTGTATGTCGCCTATGACATTGGTGTACGCATTTTCTGTATAGCTGGGGCATATTCCAGGTTTACCAAATTTAATGGCATGAATCATAGTACATACATACATAGAGAGAGCGAGTGAAGGCACAGTGCCTGCTTGCTAGTTAGGTATTAAAAGGATTTAATATCCCAGAAACAGCACAATGTAGTGCTGTACAAAAATAGACTACTAACAAGCATCTCACTCTTCCCACAGGTATTGGGGTGGTGGTTATTTTTGAAAGTGCGCCTGATGTTTTAACAGTGGTATTTGACGCATATAATGATGTTGAAGGGAGGAACGTAAACGATGCTATTTGTTAGGTCATTGCCATTTGTTTCAAAGTAAAGTGCTGTCAGCCATGACTGGAGTGGAAGAATAATGAGTATTCCTCTATTTGCAGCTGTATGCCAGCCAGGATGCAAACATGGTGAATGCGTTGGGCCAAACAAGTGTAAGTGCCACCCAGGATACACTGGAAAAACCTGCAACCAAGGTAAGAAAGTGAAGTCCAAGACATAGAATTTCTTCTTGAAAGCACAGAAGTATTGTTGATCCCTCTCCCCCCAAATGCTGTGTGTGTCACCTGCGATTATAGGGTAATGAACTCATATACCAGGTCTGTTACTGCTGTAGCTATTCTGACGTTGGGACTGACATTTGTAGAGTCCCATGTGTGACATGTTGATTTTAGAGTGAATAATTTTCTTTAAAAATAAATATATATTTCTTTTCAGATTTACTAATCCTTCCCAAAGTGATGTGGAAATGAATGTTGTATTTTTCAGTTTTAAGTTTCATTTATTCTGTCATCTCTCAAATTATCCTGTCTCCTTTTCCCTTTACTCTGGGCTGACATTTTAAAGGATGGGTTGTTATGATTTTATTCTTCTACACCTGTTTTGGTCAGTCTGGAACTTTTTTAGAAAACAGTGCAGTGAACTAACAGTTGTTACATGTATATGTAATAATTTTTATATGTACTAATTACTTTAACAATATCAAAAGAATGCTGTGCAAATTGCTGGAGGCTGCAGTCTTGAACTAAACTACTCACTTTCCGCTAAACGCTAAGGAAGGAAAAAATGTGGTGATAAATGATTAAAGGAAGGCAGTATTGATCAACTATTCTTGCATGGTATTGGTGGCAAAGTTGCCATGGCAGATGTGCATGAGGTTTCTGGGATGCCTGCTGACTGTGGTGTCCCAAATGTACGCCAGTTCAGGTGACTGCAGCCTGTATCTATTCTATTATATGGTGAGACCCTTGAGCTGTTCCTGGGATCAGGGTATGCGTTCTTGCCATGTGCTGATTCCGTGTTAGGATGAGACCTGAAAGTGCATAGTGGATGCAGAGTCTGCTTTTTCTGGGAGGAAATTCAAATCGCACAGGATAAGTGTGAATTCTGTTATTACACCTTAATATAGCACCTGTCCTGTTCAGTCCGTGGGCCATCTATCTCATTTCTGTTGTAGAATAATAATTAGTAATAACAGAAAGTAATGGTGTTGGCAGAAGAAATGGTGGAGTTCCCCTGCAGAGGTGGAAGTCTTTCTAGGATGTGTGAATGGTGCTGGGCTATAAAGTATGCTCAGATTCTTGGTGAATGGCGTTCTTTGAGTACAGGCACTGATAAACAGGCTCTCCATCTTATGTGTTCATGAGCCTCGTGGATCAAGCCGTATTCCAGGGACCAATCCAAGAGAAGAACCCAGCCTTATAGCAGAGCTGTTGAACCCCGACTGTGTGATGATGCCTGAATGCTTGTCCTTTTCCAGTGGCACTGCAGCTGCTGTGGCAATCTAGACCTTGCTTTAGGTCACTCAGAAGTTAGGATTAGCTGATACTTCTTTTATTATGTTGCTATCATCAGCAATTAAATTGCAGTGATTTTGCACAAGAGCTAACCATGTACTCTCCCCACAGTATTCAAGTCTCCTGAGCAGCTTTAGTGTTTCCCTTCTAGCTTTTTGATCCAGGTTTACAGCTGTAACCAGTTAAGAAAAAAGCTGAGCAACTTTAAAGAAAATACTCTGTGCCAGCTTTCTAATCTATAGTGATAATAACGGAACTAATACTTCTTTCAAAATGTGTTCATCGGAAAATTGATACCTGCTCTTCAATAAGATCTATGTTCACAGACAAATACGAATAGTTGAAAACTTGTGATTTTTGCTTGCAATCTAAAGCATATGCAGGTTAACTTCGTGTGGCTGGGAAAGGTTGTCTTTATGCAAGGAATGTAAGGCTGCTTTTCTGTAACTTACTATCCTCTTACCCTGTTTGTTCCAGGAACATGGTGCAAAGTTTGCGACTTTCTCTTTTCATAATGCAATTCTTGTCAGCACTTGAGAGATTTTGTTTGTTTGTTTGTTTAAATTATGAAGTAATGCATATTACAAAGATCTGGTAATTTCATTTTTATTATGCCTTCTTCCTATCCTGTGAAGATGAGCAGCTATATACAAGTCCACCTGGTCAGAGCAGTGAAGCACTTCTATTCCGCCCCCTGGATCATCACGCAAGAAATATAGCATCAAGGGGTGAGATGGTCCTGTATTTCAGGTGGCGTGCTCCTTCTACCTGCACGGCTTGAAACAGTAATACAATTTCTTGCAAAGGGGTTGGAGGCTAATAGACCGATGGCTGTGATGCAAAAGTTGAACCTGCAGTGTCATTAGCATGCAGAACAAATAACTGATTTTATTTCCTTGATGCTGTGTGCCTGTATTCTGAAAAGGCTTGACTCTCCACCATACTTATGGTTGTAACTTGCTTTTGTTTCTTTCCTCGCTCTTTTTTCAGGGCCTGCACTTTTTATTTGTTTCTGAGTTCCTTTGTAAAGTGAGAGCGATGGAAATTGTTTGCCAGGTTAGGTAAAGACAAAACTGTGATTTACATAAAGCTGGGAGTTGAAGAAAATTAGGATTCTTAACTTCTGCATTTGGCAGCTGTTGATTAATCAGACTAAGTGATGTGAACAAAACTCTTCGGGTGATGCAAATATCCTCTCATAAGTTTGACATGGTAGTGTGATGACAGTTGCTGGAAATGAAAGCTGATCTACTGTTTATAGTATGGTGATAACAGTTTAATTTTTAACTTGGTTTCTGGTCCCTGGCTTTCTATTTTCAAAGTCTGAGTAAATTTGGTATTGAATATTTGACCTCTGTGTTGCCTGATCCAAGTTAATAGGCAGAAAAAGTCTGAGTGCTGGAGTCTTCTGCAGAAGCTAATTAAAGAAAATAGCAGAGTGTAGTATTGCGTCTTCCTAGGGATAAGTGCCCCTTGTTAAGTGTGCACTGAAGTCGGTCATTACCCAAGATCATGTGTGGTGCCACACAATAGTCACATCTGGATTTGCCAGCATAGCGTGCTCGTCCTTTCCTTGCATTCACATTTTCATTTCATTTCTTGAAAAATAAAATACTTGTGCTCAGCAGCCTGCGCTTATGTTACAGACCTGCTTTCCATAGTGCCCGAAACTGTCAGTCTGCTTTTAGGTACAGTACTGTCTTACGTTATTTTGAAATTAAGAATGCTGGTTTTGCATTGACTGTACAGTTGTAGGCAACATGGGAATTTAAGTGGCTGAACAATTAAATTCTCAAGTGCAGGAGAGTGAGTGGACATTCCTGCAAAGACATTAAAGGGGTTTGTTAAACTTTTTAATAGTGTTTGGCTTTATATTTTGAATTCCAGTGTGAGATTATAAGTGACTAAAAGAAATGATGATATTTTACTAAAAAGAAGAATGATGTAAAAGTGTTATTTTTATTACCCTTTGAGTTTATACATTTTAGCTTTAAATTTTTTTAGAGGAAACTTCTGCTGTTTTCTTATTTCCTCTTTCGATGCATAGACATTTATACTGAGATGTCTTTATAGATGTTGCTTGAAATACAGAATTGATAAGTAACCAGCATTTGTTCGAGTTACGTTGCTACGGCTGATTTTTTGACTGCTAACATTAGCCTGAACCTGTTCTTGAAAAAATAGACCTTACTTAAGGAACAAGAAACACACAAACAGATAGCAGGAATGTTTCAGTGCTCCCCGAGTCCATGTGCAGTGCATCCAGACCCTTCTTAGGGAAGCATGCTGTTACAGATTATGGGTGCATGGAGGTGGATCAAGAGAGCTGTCAGCATATTGACACAGGCCTTTATGTAGGACCTGCCAGTAATCGTACGAGTAGTGCTTGTTGTGCAGTTTCCGAGTATGTGCCCGTCTGCGCTGGTGAAAAGAAGAAAAGTTACATTTTGGGGAAAATAAGATGGGCTGAGCAGCATGCTCTAACACACCTAACCTATTTGCAGGCTGGCTTCTTTCTTAAGCAGCCACAGCACTGCCAGTACTTGCTTTCCTAAACAGTAGCATTCATTCTGACTCCATAAGCTTAAAAACATCTTTCTCTCAATAGCTAATTTCAAAGGCAAAAGTGAAAACCCGTGACACATGAGGTTTAGGTTTAAGTGGAGTTGTGCTAACAGCCTATTTCTGCTGCCTTGTGACCTTAGCTTTCTGTTACGTCAGCCAAGGTTAAAAAATTTGAACTTTTTCAAGGCACAAACATTTTACTTTCAGCATGTTTTTTAACATGTGAATCAAAAGCTGATGTTGACAGCATTTGTTCACAGGCAGAAATAGATTGAAGCGAAGACAACAGAAATAATTTAGTCAAAATTCCACAAACGAAAAGCTTGTGATGTGATATCCTAATACAGTTGATTGCACCTACTTTTTAAGATCAGGTTATTCTCAGAGTATGTTACTAATAGCTGTCTATTTGTCAATACCAGAGCTTTCATTTCTGTACTAAGAATATTTTGTACCAAATGGTGGTGTAGTATTCAGAGTCCTAAAGAAAGATCCAATTATTTAAGGCTCATAATGTAATCTATACCTTATGCAAGATGGTAAACTGAGAACAGTCATAAATTCTTACCATTTTCAACTTTGGATCTGTGGTTGTAGCTCTGGAAATAAAAGCGAGACAGTTCTTAAGGGTAAAGTCTTCAGGAGTATCTGAACTTAGGAGCTGAAGTGCAGTGGGATGTAAACACTTGAAGTTAACACAGGCACTGTTAAAATCCTGCCCTGTCAGCTTAATTTCAGCATTACTTTTCCTCGTTCTGTCCTTACTTCTAGTTAAGTATTTTATACTTACCTCTGTTACGTATTTATTATTATTATATTTAAAGTGATGCTTTTTCTACAAAAGAGGAAGAATACAGAAATTTTAGACTTATAGAACTTTTCTTTCTCTTACTTCAAAATGATTGTTGTCCATGAATCTCAGAATAGTCAATAGTGTGGGTTCTGTGGGGATACTTTTATGAATTGAAATCAAACTCTAACAGAGTTTTGAATTTAACAATGACTTTTTTTAACAGACGTGTTGCATGTGTAATAAATATGTTAATGCAGCTATAAAGTCTGTCAGGAGCTGTCTAATTGTAGTAAGTTTTACAGACAAAAGAAAAAGCAGCTTTTTGTGCTGCCCAGAGAAGTTTGCCTCCCAAAATGCAAGCTTTCACCTGTTTATTATTGAACATTTTTATGTAAAGTTTTTTTTTTTTACACAAAGATTTTCACAATGAAAACTTGCCCTTCCCCTCTAGCATAATCATCTGCTGCTTTTCCATTTTGACCTATGCACGTACTCTATCAATAGTCACAACTCTTACCTGAAGATCCTGCTTTCACAGTAGAAAACGTACATCTCTTCTGCAGCTGTTTCTCTCAAACCCAGCAGGTACACTCCTGTGATTGTGGCATTGGTGCCTGCTGGGAGAAGTATGTTCTCCTAGCAGCTCCAGGAATGTTTTCAAACTCCCAAAGAGTGAGAGTTGAAAAAGGATGCTCTTTCTGCAACGCATGATCTGCAGGAAGACTGTGGAGATGGTCATCACTCCTTGTTTGTCAGGCACAGGTCCAGCCCTTATTTTGGCAACTTTTTCTCACTGAAGTCCTGCCTGCACTCACCTGGCTTCCTCGCCACTCTAGGAGCAAACGTTTCCCTTCAGGCTTCCTAGAAACATCTTATTCAGCCTTCTGCAGGAAGAAAGGGAAAATTATGTCCCTTACCACTACCCTCTCGCAGCAGAGGGGAGCAGGAAGTATTCTTATCCCTAAACCTGCTGCTCTTCCCGAGGCCCTGGAAAATGAAGTAAAAAAGGTCATATCCATCAGTTAGGAGAAGGGTTGTGGGGAGGGGCAAATACCTGTCTGCATGACGCTCACTCTTCCTTGACCCCATAAAGATGAAAACAAAGTAGGTCAGAAGACAACAGATTTAATGACACACATAAACACTCTTAAGAATTACTGACTTCATTCTAACCAGAGGTATATTTGTCTTTCTGTTTTAACGTCTTAACTCTAAGCCTTCACATCTAGTCCTTAGAAAGCATGCGTGTCCTTCTCAGCTGGCATTTTATAAGGTGGCTACTGTGTTTGTGTGTCTACCACACAGTAGGAGCCCCAAGGCTTACCTTTCTGCTACGTGAATTAGGGAGTGACTTTTGATGAGAATGTGCTTAATAGTGGAGGTGGCTCTTTGAAAAGTTCCTGGAAATAACAGTGACTCTCTTACTGTAATAGACCTCCAAACACGATTGTGCAATATTAGAGATGAGGGTCGGTAACTCAGTTGTTTCAGTACTTGCTGGCTGGATTTGTGAATAGATTTATTATTTTCACCTTTATTGTCATCTTTACTCATCAGTACACAAATAACTAAGTAAAAAGTTATTCTGGTTTACCCAGGTAAAACCAACGCATATTCTTGGAAGAGAATTCTGAGGGAAATGCTCACTCAATCTTCACTTCTTGTTAGAAGCCTTGTCTACTAATATGAAAATTGTAGGCTGAATATTTTCAGTTTAAATTGTGAATTCTGTATTAAATTGTAAATCTGAAATAGTAACTTTCATGGATAGTCCTTGACAAATACCACTTTTTTTCCCAGTATTTCCTAGATGGTAAGGAATACATTTTCTCTGTGAGATTGTTTAAAGTAGGTTAGCATCAGCCTTCCTACCTTCCTCTGCGAGTAATTTTGAAGCACGATAGTGAATCACTGGATCGCTATCAGAATCACTGATAGTGATTGCAGCAGTAACATTTGCTTTCTCCCTCCTCTTCAAGAGTTCTGGCTGGTCCTGGACATGGCATCAACATGAGTAGTGGCAAGATGTGGGCAGCCTGAGCTTGTGCATTATAGAATCATAGAATATTTTGGGTTGGAAGGGACCTCTAAAGGTCATCTAGTCCAACCTAATTTTCATTCCCTAATGAAACTTCTGTTGGCACTTAATCTAATGCTAATACTGTCATTTCTGAAAGGATATCTGTGAAACAGAAGAAAACATGGCAAGATGGGCAGCCTGAGCTTGTGCATTATAGAATCATAGAATAGTTTGGGTTGGAAGGGACCTCAAAAGGTCATCTAGTCCAACCTAATTTTCATTCCCTAATGAAACTTCTGTTGGCACTTAATCTAATGCTAATACTGTCATTTCTGAAAGGATATCTGTGAAACAGAAGAAAACACGTCGCTTGGCAGGAGGGGTGAACAGTGCTTCATACAAGATGTTCTGGATGCTTGCTATCAGCTGGACTGCATATAAAAAGCTAATAGCCATGTTTTTCCTTCTTTCTCCAGGAACTTCCCTAATGAAACTTCTGTTGGCACTTAATCTAATGCTAATACTGTCATTTCTGAAAGGATATCTGTGAAACAGAAGAAAACACGTCGCTTGGCAGGAGGGGTGAACAGTGCTTCATACAAGATGTTCTGGATGCTTGCTATCAGCTGGACTGCATATAAAAAGCTAATAGCCATGTTTTTCCTTCTTTCTCCAGGAACTTGAACTAGTAGTTTTTTCACACATACCTTGTATGTTTTCTTTTCCCACCCCCTTCCCTTGCACCCTTCATTTCAGATCTAAATGAGTGTGGACTAAAGCCACGGCCGTGCAAACACCGGTGTATGAATACCTACGGCAGCTACAAGTGCTACTGTCTGAACGGCTACATGCTTATGCCAGATGGAACGTGCTCGAGTACGGCAAGGCTTGTTGCTTGCTTTTTTCAAGCTCCTCAAGATCCCTGCTTGGGTTTCCCTGGGAAACTTTTATGAAATGAAGATGAGTCCCAAAGTAAAAGATTAATCTTGCTGGAAATTAGGCAGTTGCGCAAGATGAGCTGCTTTTTTCTAATGAAATTAGGCTTAACAAAACAAGAGCAAATATTTTGATTTTATTAGTTTTATTACAAGTTTCCCCAGAAGCATTCTTCAGTGCTGTAAATCACTGTTAATTTGCCTTCAAGGACAAGTGCTTGCAGTTTTCATTGCAGCAAGACACCTGCAGTTCTGCTGTATTATGTCCTTATGAACGCAAAATCATTAAAGCTGCAGATGTTGGTTGTTTGACTGGTATAAAATTGTACTGTCATCTCTCTGGAGATGAGGTTTCTACTTGCTCCCATAAAAGTGGATATTTGAGTGTCTGGACAAGAGAGAAGGGGAGAGAAATTACCTTTAATTAAAGATGGTCCTATTTTAAAATGGCAGTACTGTCCAGGAGGGTTTATAGTACATACTGGGCTTTATATTCCTCATGGGGACTGCATTCCATGACACAACTTCCTACAACTGTGGTGGTTTTCTTTTTTTTTTTTTTTTTTTTCCTTTTCTTAGAGATGCAATTTGTGGAAAGAAAAAATTTACTGCATATGCATTTGCTCTTTAAAGCCTGAATGGATACCTGTCAAATTCAACAAGCATTTTTCCACTTCTATCATAATGATACGACAACTTAATTCTCCAAAGTTTTTAGTCATTTTCTGGTACTGACCAGAGTCCTTATCTAAATATGTTCAATTGTTATTCCCTAGGTGCCCTTTCTTGCTCGATGGCAAACTGTCAGTATGGCTGTGATGTACTGAAAGGGGAAGTACGCTGCCGCTGTCCTTCTCCAGGACTGCAGCTAGGGCCTGATGCCAGGACTTGCATAGGTAGGTGATCAAATGTGGATTTAATTCTTTTTCTGCAAAATGTTTTTATCCTTACACTGAACACGGTTCAAGAGAGTTTATCAGATGTATTTAGAATGCATCATACATGGAATTTAAAGACGTTACTAATGAGAATTGGGATAGGCATGTTGCTCAGGTGCTCTCAAGTGGTCTGCATCAGAGATCACCAGTGTTTCCCTCCAGTCCTGCAATTTTCATTGACTGCTTAAAACTCGCACGGGCTGCTTGGCATCCAAGCCCTCAGCCCTTACCACTCCTGTTACTGGGTCATTTTAAACTATTGCTAACAGAGACTCCAAAATACTTGCCTGCATAAAAAAAGGAATGGGGAGGTCAGCTCTCCCTCATACCCAGCAAGGCGGTGCTTAGGCTCAGGGAGTAGAGAGGTAATTTGTGCAAATCATTGAGATTATACTGGGACAAGGTGAAGGTCTGTGTGCATTCCCAGTATTAATGGGATTGAAGCCACTGCCTTTCTTCCATACTGCGAAAACTCCAGGTTAAAATAAACTCAGGAATTCAGACTGTATAAAAGTGAGATGTTTTGTTCCCACGTTCGTGAACACAGAAAAGGTGCTTATGGTTAATCAGACTGTATTGTGCCACACTGTACTATGGTCTGAAGAAAAGTGTGATGTGTGATTTCATTAGTCATTAACTATACATCCTGAGTGGATATGATGCTCCAGTGATTTTATTATTTATATCCTATGCAGTGCTACAGTTCCATAACCAGTAACAACACTTGCACTGAAAGAACGTAAGAGAATGTGGATTCCCTAATTATCCATTTGGGTATCGTGACTGTCTACAGGGGAGGTGGTTCTCCAAGTGGCTGACCCACGCTGACGAAGAATTTGTTGGCAGAGCAAGGGACAGATTCTAGATCTTCTGATGTGAGGAGCAGGCTCAGCTCTAAGTCGGAGGCTTTCTGAAGTGCATGGTTGGCACGTCTATGTATGCAAAAGAATGGGTATAACAGGAGGAAAAAAAACCACCATTGTCACATGCTGAAGAGATTGAATTGTGATTAATCACGCTGTGGACTTTACGGCAGACAGAGATCTTTGGAAGAGACTTGTGTCATGCCATAGTGAGCTGTGATTTTTAAGCACAAATTCAAGGAAGTTATACCAAGTACAGAAATTTGATAGAAAAATACTTGCAAGATTCTCCTAGTGTGCATTTTTATATTCAGGCAAACTTCATACTTTGAAATAAACAAAGTGCACTTTTAATGCCAAAGACTAGCACTCAAACCAGTTGTATGAAGCACTTTCAGTTCTTCAGTGTAGTTTTCAAAAAACCACTTTTTTTCCCAGAAAGGTGAAGAACTGTGTACCCCCATTTCAGTTGGGTGTGCATCATTCAGATTAATCTCATAACCTGTTTTTAAAATTTTCCACAAAAATTTCAGAGCAGCCTTGTACAATACAGTGAAAGTAGTCACAGCAAGAGACGTCTGTGCTTCATGGGTTATAACATGATCTACTCCCCTTTTTTGGTAAGAAGTGATTGTGACACGCACCCTTTTTGTGTTGTTTCTCTATCGAGTTTGAGTTGTACTAAAACCAGTAAATACCTCCAAGCATTGAAGCTATTTGGAGCTAGGACTGTGCATTTTCCTCACATGTGTACAAGCCTATCACTGTTGGGGAGGTTGTCAGCTCCAGCGAGGGTCTGGATTCTGCTGCAGCACAAATAGAAGTGTAGTGGATGGTGAAAAAAAAAATTGAAGTGTGCATTGGCTGCAGCTCATGAAATCCTTGTTTGAGGGGAGTTTGAAAGACAGCTGGGAATGTAATGCTTATTTTTAGCACAGGTGGAAATTCCTCTAGGCATTATTCTATTCTTAGTTTAACCCATGCTGATCATTCTCTTGTTAAAACATTCCTTCCAGATAATAAGTATAGAGCCACCAAACAATTTGGCTCCGAAGGTAAACAATATAAACTAAGTAACAACAAAGAGAAAAAGAATTCAGCAAAGTATTCAGTGAAAATACAGATTAATTGACTAATTAATTGATTAATGACTCTTGAATCAATAAATGAATCAGTGTTGCCAGCTTTTTGGATAGGGATTTTCATTTAATGAAATTAGCAGTATACACATTTCAGCTTCAGAAGGTCTGAAATTATTTGAGGACTGAAAATAATTATTTTCACTGTAAAATAAATTCTTTCTAGTTGTTTTGGTTGTGTATAGAAACTTGAAAATATGACTTGTAAACTTAAAAATCATACTATTTTTAAATCAATCTCATAGTTGTTTAGTGCTTGAGTTGGCAATATGGTCATACTGACAGCAGGACAGAAGCAAGACTTTGTAATTCTCCTTCTCTGTTGAACACTGACCATCACACGTATTAGGTGCTCTCTGTATTATGTGTCTTTGGAGCAGCTCCCTGGCGCTAAGTCTGGGCTTGCACCTCCACGGCAGACCAGGCTGAGATCAGAATACAAATCACCCCTTCATGCCCTCGTTTCCATAGGAAGCAGGCGTGAGCCACAGCATGTTGCAGCAGGCAAAGGGAAACGGCCTTACACCATTTGGGCCCAGGTGTGAATTGGTATGGGTCCATGGACTTGAAGGAAGCCGCCGTCACTGTACTATTTGAGAACTGGAGGAAACTAATCGTGAGCACTTGCATACCAGCTTCTAGGTGGCGATCAAAAAGTGTTTTTCCCAGTAGTAACAAGCATCCACCCACCTCTCATACTAAATGCAAGCAGTGGACTGTTACTTTTTTCCATTATTTTTGTGCCAGTTTTCAACAGTGTATTGATTAGCAGTTCAGTCCTGTATCTTTAGGATGTATGACTGCCTAGAAAATTAAACGATACTACTACAGTGCTCTCATCATGTAACATACTTCTTGCCTTATGGGAATTTGCAAACACATGAATAGGTACAGGGGGAAAGGCAGGACAAGCTACATTAGGTTTTAAAGAACATAATCCCTGCCATGATGAGGTATATTCAGTGGCTAATCTTTTTCTTACTGAATTGCTTTTTGAAGTTGTGGTTTAAAGATAAAAACAACAACAAAGAACCCCAACTAACTCACAGTAATCAAGAGTCTGAAATTTGCGGCCTTGAAATAATATTTTAATAAAGGGCAGAAAATTGCATCTTCTAAATTAAATAACGGTAAGGAACATGGTAGAATTTATAAAACTATAAATAATGTACTCAAAGCCTAAAACTTTAATAATAGATTCAAACCAAGAGCCAGATTTATAGGGAGATTCAGGCATGTGGAGGGGTGCCCAGTATTGGCCTCGTTTTCTTTCTCATTCAGACCTTTACTGCGGCATTGCAGAAGTGCTCCCGACTGAGAGCTGCTATGTCAGAGCAGTCTGATGGGCCAGGAGTGTTGGGAGCTCAGGGGTTGAATCCTTGCTGTCCTCAGTAATTCTTCATGCAGAGTGGGACAGTGCCAGCAGGAGGTACTGGGACAGCCCATCTAGCCAGTAATTCATGGCTTTAGGTCACTTTTGGCTGTGGGAAACACAGCTTGGAGAATTTGAAGCTACATCTCCCCTGCCCTAACTAACCAGCATTTTTGTGGTAACGTTTTTACTGTGCTGCGCAAGAGACTCAGGCTTCTCTCTGTCTTGTTCAGACCTCTTTCACAAGCAGCAGGGCATCTATCACTCGGCTTTGTTTTGCACTCTTGACACCTGCAGCTGAAGTGCTCCTTTTGGGAGAAGAATTGCGTGGAGAGCAAAATCTTGCTTTCCTGATAGAGCTGCAGAACAAAGGCTTGAACTGTGCTCTGTAGATAACCAACAAACATCAGGAGTGGCGTGCGTCAGAGGCAGCCATGTGTGGCAGGCCTCTACCTCAGTGGAGAATTAGGGTTCAAGCACTCAGCAGGCTTCAGCTCGGTTTCCAGGGGCTACAAAGTGAGTGGTAGCGCAAGCAGCTTTTCTGTATCAGCCTGACCTCATCTGAGAGTTTCCCAGACACTGAAAGCAGTGCTGGGTGAGCATCGGCTGCTCCCTGGGCCCCTGCCTGGCTTGTTAGTCAGGATGAAGAACAGCATCTTCTGGGAGATGAGGGGCATCAGACACTTACTCAGCATCACCCATGTCTTCCCACTCCTCTGTCCTTGCCTGGATGTCGCTTGCTGAAGCACTGCTTCAGGTCCTGCTAGGAGCCCCTGGCAGGGCAAATGGGAGCCATGTATCTGAGAACCTCAGAGATATTTTAAGGTCACGTAGGTAACCAACCTCTGTGAAAGAGGGGTCAGCTACAGCACAGGCACTGCAGGGTAAGATTGCAAAGAGCAGGTGCTCAAAAAGCATTTGGCCTGTGGTAACTAACTGGTAGGAGACCCGGAAATACTGCACCCCTGGCATTAGCTTGACCTCTCTTTGTTTAGAGCAAGTCCTGAACAGATGAAGGTTTCCTGGTAGTCTCAATGGGCAGGTCATGGATTAGGGACACCTGAGATGTTAAAAAAACAAACCGATTCCTACTGCAGGGTGATGTACTTTGAATATGCACGTATGACCTGTGCTACAGGAACAATATTTCAGGCATGTTTCAGAAAAAGAATTACTGGGGTAGTTTTTATTATTATTACTTGTCTGTAAATCCAGGTGCTGTCTTTATAACAGGCAGGGCTTAGTGGGACAAAAAAAGTTATACAAATAACACAAAATAGCTTTTCTTCCGACAAATATCATTACAGTTTTAAGGATGAGTGTTTTGAGGCCTTGAAGAAGCTGTCATGTGTTCTGTGGGGAGTTAGAGAACGTCTCCTCTCCAAGGGGAAGGGTACCACGATGGCAAGAGCATACAGCAAGCATTCCAAATTCAGTAGCCATGCTTGTTATGCCAGTGCATTTGTTTTCACTCACAGTATTTGTAAAGGCTTCTGGCACAGGAGGCATAAAAATTTGGGTGTGTGACCAGGAGCTGAACTGAGATGGTACAGCCAGAAGAAGTGCTCAGGTGTTACTTCTGGCTGACCAGTTTGTAGCCAAAAGGACTTTATCAAAAATCCTTTGGCTATTCTTTAGCTTTTCGTGATGTGAAACCAGTTTCATTTTGATAGTATAGATTGTATTTTAACTGCTATTAAGAATAATACAGTTCCTTTGTTTCCACAGATATTGATGAATGTGCTACTGGGAGAGTTATCTGTCCACGATTTAGGCACTGCGTCAATACTTTCGGAAGCTACATTTGCAGGTGTCATAAAGGCTTTGATCTAATGTACATTGGAGGCAAATACCAATGCCATGGTAATAACTTATTTCTTACGTGCATGTAATAGAGCTGCATATTCTAAACTGAAGTTAATGGTTTAAAGAGGAATGTTTGCTTATTATGGCTGAAAATGTTGAAGCAGGGTGTTTTAGGTTGCACTGCATCTGTATTTTAGGAAAGAGTGGATTGTAGAAATAGACTGTGAAAAAGAAAGCATATATTTGGCCCCCATTCTTGTAACCGGTTCTCCTGTGGAAGCTAGTGGGAAAACAGAGCTCATGACCCCAGGAATTCCTTTCCAAAGCCTTTGTCCCCACAGGTTTTACTGTGCACAGGCAGTTGTAGGTTTGGAGCAGCGTATGAGGTTCGGCTATGTCTGAGCTGTAACGCAGGTGTGCTCCGTAGCATGCCCCAAGATCCAAGATAAGAAAATGTAGCTAGAGCACATCCCAGCTCCTTCCAACCCAGGCTGCCCAACTTTCCTTCCCCTGAAGACAGGTGGCGAAAAGGCAGTCTGAATTGGGAAATAACCTGTCTCTGTCTGGACATGAGACTGGAATGCAGCTGGTGTATGCCCTTCAACAAAGATGTTCCCAGGTCTCACTGTCTTAGTTTCCCAGGGCCTCAACTGGTTATGATCCTTTCACTGAAAAAAGGACCATGTGGAGATAATGAGGCATTGCTTTATGTTTGTTTAAGTATATTTTTTTGAGCGAAATCTCTATGCAGAGCACTGGAGATTTTTGCTTGCATCACTAACAGCAAACATCGAAATGCCATATAAGATGTTTGAAGCAGTTTCTAGTTGATGTAGAAACATCTATACAGATGTATAATAGAGGAAGCATTTTATGAAAAAACAGTTTAATATCTGTGTGATTAAGAACATGCATATTCCTACACTCAGTTTTTCTTTTCTTATCATGTCACCTTTAAGAAGTGGTTATTAAAATTGTGATCTTCATGATCTTAACTGCAGTCTACCCGCAGCACATCGTTGAAACTGATGCTAAGGTATAAGCTGAGCAATACCAGAGTTGCATAATAGTCCCTTTTACCCTGACGTTTGTATCACCGCATTGATTTGTGACTGTCTATCTTCCTTTTCCCACTGGCAATTGTTTTATTAAATTTTTCAAAATTAATAATGTTTTCCTGATGACCATACTACTGTTTGTGTTTTTGCAGGGATAAGCAGAAAGTCAAGTTTCTTTGATGTTAATGATTTTTTTTGTTATGTAACTTTCTGTTGCAGATATAGATGAATGTTCCCTTGGCCACCATCAGTGTGGTAGCTTTTCGCGATGTTACAATACACCAGGATCCTATAAATGCAAGTGTAAAGAAGGGTACAGAGACAATGGAACAAACTGCATACGTATGTAATGCTCCTTTTAAAAAAGGAATTCTGAAAGTAAATGTGTCCCATGTTGTAAATTTTGAGATACAGCACTATCAGGCTCAGTTTCTCTTAACTTTTTTTAATATTTAATAAGAGGCCAGGGAATGTAGTCAGAGTTTTCTGAGTCTTAGCATGCCTTGGTAAAAATACCTTTCCCTGAGACATTTTCATAATTAGAAAGAATTTCACCTCTCCCCATTCACAGTTTCATTCTAGAGATTGCTTCAGGATGAGAACAACTGAGTAAGCAGGCTAGGTCTGGTCAAGCAGTACATATTACTCATACCTGTTATTATGTATGCTCTGCCACTGGCCCATTTCAGCAGCTCACTCCATCCACTCCCCACTGCTCCCCAGATGTGAGCAGAGCCGAGAGGGAGGATTTCTCTGGAAGAATTCCCTGTTGGAGAATTCCCTTCCTCACCTCTCTCTTGGGAGAAGCAGCCGTCCCCCTTGGTACAGAATAGGCCATTGCAGCTCCCCCACATTTGACATCCCTCAGGACTGTGGAGCTCTATGACATCTGCTGAGCCTTTTCGAGGACGCTGTGTTCATACTTGGGTTCTAGTCTTTGGTGACTCACTGATCTCTTTAAAGAGCAGTACTATTGCAGACTTGTTTCCTTTGGCTGTAGCTGTCATGGTAATGTGATCTGGCTAAGGCAATCTTTCACAACCTGAGTGCTTGCAATTATATCTGGACACACTTCACATGTGTTACTGGGACATAGTCCTAAGGTGCATTTTATATTTTAATATACCATAATTTAAAAAACGCAGGGTATTCAAAAGAATAGTAATAAACAGGCGGCTAGAGAGAAAACCTTTTTACCTGCTATCATCAAACAATTCATTGTTTAACAAACAGTAGTTCTTCATTTTAACTGTGTGTTATACTTGAAACACTTGTACACAAAATATGTGACTACAGTTCTTATTGGGGCTTTTAAGATCTCCAGTGAGATACAAAAAGCTTATTAACAAACAGAAAATTATAAATAACAAAACAGATGTTCTTGCGTTTCACGTCTGCAGAAACTCCCCTTGTGGAACCAAGTTAAAATTTGTTGTCCTTTCTTTAGGAAATATTGGGGGAGATGGTACTGTAGGCACTGTCACTGTGGTGTAGGTGGTGCTCAGTTCACTTTCTCCTTTTTGTGGAGGCTGAAAAAATGCCATTTACTTAGTTTCCTGGTGTTTAGCAAAGGTAAAGCCTGGAGAAAAGGAGGCTGAGGGGATACTTAGTTTTGGTGTTTAGCAAAGGTAAAGCCTGGTGAAAAGGAGGCTGAGGGGAGACCTCATCGCTCTCTACAGACAGGAGGTTGTAGCAAGGTGGGTGTTGGTCTCTTCTCCCAAGTAACTAGTAACTAGATATGGCCTCAAGTTGCACCAGGGGAGGTTTAGGTTGGACGTGAGGAAAAATTTCTTTACTGAAA